TCTGAAGTATCTCAAAAACTAGAGGATGGATTCAGATGAGACACTCATGGTCTCCACAGGGTGAATCCCAATAACTTGACTTTTCCTCTGGCACCATCATCAGGTCAAATTATATGAGTCCAATATACTTTGGTTCTGGGCAAATGCCTGCAAAACTAATGACAATCACACCAACCTCAGATATGTTAGCATGCTAACGAGCTAAACTGCAACGGTGAACAGGGTAAATATTTCACCTCGTGTCAGCATGTTAGCGTGGTGATAGCATTTAGCTCAGAGCACTGCTGTGCTTGAGTACGGCCTTACAGACAGAGACACTAAAATGGCTGGAGAGTCTTGTTTGTTGATGAATGCTGAGTCAAGCAAAGCAAATCCAAACTTTTTACTTATTAAACAGCTCGGAGAATCATCCGTGTATGATTACATGAGTTGCTCATTTGTGAAATCTAACTCTTATCACACAGTGAAACCCATAATCGAAGTCAGAACTCACCCAAAAAATCATTTAACTTCACAAAACTGGTGGACTGAAGAGAAGTTGGGAGCACGCACACACACACACACACACACACACACACACACACTTAAAAGGGCTGTAGCGTGCTGTGCTCTTTTTGTCAGTCCCACAGCACTAACTCAAGTGTTAAAGAAAACCTCGGGACAGAAAAGGAAAGCATGAATCGAACAAAGAAGCTGCTTTTAGCCCTTTTATGGCTCCCTAGACCGTCTTGCACAATAACCATTTGTAAAACATGATTGAATGTTACTTTATTTTAAAACATCAAATTGGTACTTTATTATACAAAAATAACAGACTTTTGTGTTTGTTTTGTGCAGCTTTCTGTATGAAATATGCAACATGAACATGACTAAACATGTCAAAACAGGCAACCTCAGAAAGCCCAGACTGAAACACTATCTGGCAATAATGGGTTTTTTCTCAGTTATGTGTAAACCATGGCGGTAAATCCCTTTTCTTTTTTTTTTGCCTATGAAAATCTGTTTTAGTTTTTCCCTAAATGTTCCCTAAAATTCCCTGAAAGTCCTGTGAAGTCCTGCGCTTCCTCCCTCTCTCCACATGCTGACACCCCCCACGTACAAATACTTAATCCTCCCAAATCCAGACAGGAAATGCCCTCGTCAGTAGAGCAGAATGCTTTTGACAGACCCCTGCTGTTCTTTCTCTTTCTGCCCCCCCCACCCCCCCACCCACTGAATGATATATGTGCCCTACACAAACTGCCATCTGGAAACAGTTAGCCTGTGAACGTTTGCACAGAGCCAAAAAAACATGTCTATCATGAGTTCATCAGTAGTGGAGGATAATTCAAGCCTGCTATCACAGGGGGAATATGGGACATGTTGTTTGCTTTCACTTTCAGGGGCTGATGTGTGTGTGTGTCTTCATGCGTTTGTATGTGTGTGTGGGTGTGTGTGTGTGTAAGACAATCAAATACTTGTTTAGTTTCATGACTCATGAGATCCAGTCTAAGTCTTGGCTCTGTGTCACTGCTTCTTTCACAGTTTACTTCGTGTTTTCTGGTTAGTTACTATGGAGAGCTGCACATACAATTAATTCAGTTAATTTTGAAGAGACCAACTGATGCAGCTCAGTCCTCAGACGACCCGCGTATCTTAATGACAGACATCCTGAGATTCTCCCATCTACTTACAAATGGGTTTTTTTTTTTTTTTAAATGTTGGAGACTTGAAGACCCCGGTCAGGAAATAGAAAAAACACAGTCAGAAAGAGGCCGCACATGGACAGAAAGATAAAGGTTACACTTCTCACATAGAGGAAAGTAGAGGAGGTGATAAGAAAGACCAGCTCAAATGCCTGATGCTGTGAAGACAACAGGAAGAGGGAAAAAAAACACAAATAAATAATAAAACATAATTTTTATATTATTATTATAAATATATGTATATGTCTGTTTGTATGTTTTAGTTTGAGCCAACTCACACCAGGAGTTCAACCTTTTTTATGACTCCGAGAGTAACTGTAGAAAAATAGATAAGATAAACGTTAACAACAGATTGTGCCGTTTCTTAGTCCACAAAGGTTGTAATTCATTGTACAACACCTGGCAACTAAAGAGAGGACAACCATAGTGAAACATTACAGTAAAACTGTCCATAGATTAACCTCAAACTTGGTAGCTCCAGCACTACAGACCTGTTGTTGATTAGAGGGATACTTTGATCAGACTTGGAGAGGAAGGGAAAACCATTTGTTTTTCACATTTCTCCCCCAAATTTTCTCCTGTGGGGTTGAACCCAACATCATCTTCTGCCTTTCAGCAATTTAAACTGATGAATATGCAAAGTCTTGCATAAAATCCTTTGTTGCCATGAGGGGAATTACACACTCATCTGTTATGAGAAACGATACCAACAAGGATCACAGCATTGAGAAACTGTGTCCTCTAGTGGCGCATGTTCTTCAATACTTCAGGTTCATGATCCAAATGCAGGCGAGATCAAAATAAAATTTATTCAAATATAATCTATTGATCACATCAGGGCTCAAAACATGACATTGTACATTTGTAACAAAAAAAAACAAACATGAAATTTCTTTACCTTGAATTTTAAGACATTAATTCACCAAATTTCCTTTCATTGTCGTGTTGCTGCTGTAGAAGATTTCTACTGTCATTTTAAATGAGGTGTGCTGAGATAAAAAAAACACCCAGTGACACCCTTGTAGTTTTCACGTTGTTCATATAACTACATTTAAGCAATTACACAAAAGTTAAAACACAATGCTTCATGATAAAACACTGCAAACTGTTAGTGTCACAATTTCAGTTACATCAACACAAATGACAGTAAAATATACGTCGTCTTTTCATGCGTAAAAAAAAAAAATGTTTTGGGGTTTTGCGTAGTTTACTTCACAACACACATGCACTGATGATTCCTTGAACAAATGATTCTTCAAAGTTGCATAAGGTGCAGAGACCCATCAATTCTGATTTCCACAGCATTAAGGTCAAATTTAGGCAGAATGAAAGTGACTGAGCATAAAAACTTCACTCAACCAGCTCATGAAACGCGTCTGGCTTTAGCTTTTGGTTGCCGTCTGCCTTCAGAGGCATCACAGTATGTCTACAGAAGACTTGTGGCTGCTTCATTATAACTTTACAGTTAAAGCCATCTTCAGGCAGAGCAGTACTACAATCTTGGAAAGGAACAAACCCAGAAACGCTCAAAAACGCACAAACAGGAATCATAAGGCACCTGTATCTACCTTTACAATGCTGCAACACTAATTAGTGCAAAAATGGGCTGTAAACAGCATTAAAGCACATACTGTTGATTACATCATGGACTACAGTCAGACTCCTGTCACATTCTCAGGAAGGTAATTATCCTCTCATTTATTGCACATCATCTTTCTGCTGATGAGATTTTTTTTTTTNATTCATTGTACAACACCTGGCAACTAAAGAGAGGACAACCATAGTGAAACATTACAGTAAAACTGTCCATAGATTAACCTCAAACTTGGTAGCTCCAGCACTACAGACCTGTTGTTGATTAGAGGGATACTTTGATCAGACTTGGAGAGGAAGGGAAAACCATTTGTTTTTCACATTTCTCCCCCAAATTTTCTCCTGTGGGGTTGAACCCAACATCATCTTCTGCCTTTCAGCAATTTAAACTGATGAATATGCAAAGTCTTGCATAAAATCCTTTGTTGCCATGAGGGGAATTACACACTCATCTGTTATGAGAAACGATACCAACAAGGATCACAGCATTGAGAAACTGTGTCCTCTAGTGGCGCATGTTCTTCAATACTTCAGGTTCATGATCCAAATGCAGGCGAGATCAAAATAAAATTTATTCAAATATAATCTATTGATCACATCAGGGCTCAAAACATGACATTGTACATTTGTAACAAAAAAAAACAAACATGAAATTTCTTTACCTTGAATTTTAAGACATTAATTCACCAAATTTCCTTTCATTGTCGTGTTGCTGCTGTAGAAGATTTCTACTGTCATTTTAAATGAGGTGTGCTGAGATAAAAAAAACACCCAGCGACACCCTTGTAGTTTTCACGTTGTTCATATAACTACATTTAAGCAATTACACAAAAGTTAAAACACAATGCTTCATGATAAAACACTGCAAACTGTTAGTGTCACAATTTCAGTTACATCAACACAAATGACAGTAAAATATACGTCGTCTTTTCATGCGTAAAAAAAAAAATGTTTTGGGGTTTTGCGTAGTTTACTTCACAACACACATGCACTGATGATTCCTTGAACAAATGATTCTTCAAAGTTGCATAAGGTGCAGAGACCCATCAATTCTGATTTCCACAGCATTAAGGTCAAATTTAGGCAGAATGAAAGTGACTGAGCATAAAAACTTCACTCAACCAGCTCATGAAACGCGTCTGGCTTTAGCTTTTGGTTGCCGTCTGCCTTCAGAGGCATCACAGTATGTCTACAGAAGACTTGTGGCTGCTTCATTATAACTTTACAGTTAAAGCCATCTTCAGGCAGAGCAGTACTACAATCTTGGAAAGGAACAAACCCAGAAACGCTCAAAAACGCACAAACAGGAATCATAAGGCACCTGTATCTACCTTTACAATGCTGCAACACTAATTAGTGCAAAAATGGGCTGTAAACAGCATTAAAGCACATACTGTTGATTACATCATGGACTACAGTCAGACTCCTGTCACATTCTCAGGAAGGTAATTATCCTCTCATTTATTGCACATCATCTTTCTGCTGATGAGATTTTTTTTTTTATTCAAACGGAGCTAAAAATAAAGTTAAAGTACTAAAGGCAAAGCTGAGCTTTTTGTTTCAGTCAGATGACACTTCAGCTAAAAATAATACATGTCCACACATATTTAAAGCAGTGTCTAAACTACTGTAGGTCAGTGGTTTCATGTCGTTGTTTCTTAAGCTTTTGTCCATTTGAAGTGTGCAAAGCATCTTTGAGACAATGTTGCGCTATAAATAAGACTAACACTCACTTCAGCGTTCTTACACTTTGTCTTATCCGTCCGACAAATGGGCAGCTTTGTTTTGGCTCTGTGCTCAAGCACATTAGACCTGAACTGAAGTACAACACTCAATACAGATGTGAACTATATTAGAGAGAAATTTAAGAGCTGCAGAGAGTTTTGGTTTTTGATAACCTCCAGTGGTTTAACTTCTCAGCTTGCTGCAGTGATGTACAGGTGTACTCCAGGATCAGTGTGGCTCGTTGTCAGTACACTGTAACATCACTGTCTTGTTTGAGGTGCAACAGGAAACAGTCCGGTGTTAAGTTACTCTTTAAAGTTTAAAATCAGCACTTGAATCTCACAATTGTTATTCCCATCCAATGTTCTGGATTAAAGAGCCAAAACAATGAAAAACCATCACTGTCCTCACACTTAAATATGTGTCTGCTTGTGACTTCAACAGTCAACAACAAGTAAAACCAATCATGAAAACATCAGAGTCATTACATCCAGCTGATGGTGAAGTTCTGACTGAGGTTGAGACCGAGATCTGCAACTGTTAACACCTGCAGAGGGAGAACGGAGAACAAAGGTCATTCAGTCGGGTAAACTAAAGGCCTACACTATGAAAAACAGGACGACAACACGACTGCACGAGTCATATGCTACACAAGAGATATCACAGGGGACATCTCTTTAATATCTTGAAGTGGGTCACTGGGTCTTCTTTTAATTAATTAATCAAATGTGTTTTAAAAATCACCCTGCTAGAAGGGTTCAGCAAGTAACTACGTACACTGAAGTACAATTTTGAGGGTACTACTTGCTACTTTATACTTCGACTTGTTGACGTTTCAGAGTGAGATGTGAAACCTAACTTCTACCTAACCTCATTTCAGTTACTTTTCAGATAAAGATTTTAAATAAAAAAAACATATGATCATGTTATAAAATAGGTTGAATTGTTTTAGATTAAATACCATAAAAATATATTAGCATTTAAAATTAGCTCCACTCAGACCAACTACAACATTAAAGTACTATTTATTTATATGTTAGTGTGTCAACAATAATGATCCAGTCATTCAACAATATAATACTAGCGTGGACCATTCTGTATGAAAAACTGTGAACGCAAGACTTTTACTTTTGCAGTATTTGTATAGCCTGGTATTGCTACTTTGACTCATGACAGCTGAAGCCACATGTGTATAGGTTTTGGTTACACAATTAAATACTGTTGTTGTAAAATGTAGAAGTAAAACTAACAACATCATCTGTATTTTATGTTTAATCAGATGTAAGACAATTGTGGAGCATGTGATCCGCCACTTCTGCCACTTAATTTTAGTGGCTAAATCCACCTACGGAAACTGCGTGACCTCCAAGTGATTCAGCATGAATAACAAGCACAACTACGGTTTCCCATTTTCTGTCTCTCCCCCCCCCCCACCTCTTGGCTCACCTGGTTGGCTCTGTAGGTGAACACTGCATCTTGGGAGTTCACAAACACTCTGCTTGGCTTCTCCTTCACGCCGTAGAAGGAGGCCGACTCCACAGTGATGTATGTGGCCTCCACGTTGTTATGGAGCACCTGGGACGTCATCACGTTCTACAAAATAAGACGATGGATGTCAGATCACATGGCAGCACATGTTTAAATGAATATTATGTCAAAAATAAACCTTCGAGCCCCGTCCTGTTTCACATTTCCAGGTTCATTTAATTACGTTTCTTACTTCTTGAGGTCAAACGTAAACAATGTGATGTGATAAGAATTCATGCAGTGCAGCAGCATTGCTGTTTAAAAGATTAAAGATCCCTTCCAGGTTTGTTTGAAGACATATAAATATACATTGCTTTAGATTATAATTTGTGGCTCCTTTTTCCACAAAAAAATTCAATTACCTGATTAAAACTTTTTTTAATTACATTTACTCCATCACTGTTATTAAATAGAGTCCAGACTTTATGAATATGCAAATATTATCAGGATTTTGGGAGACTTCTGCTACTGCACTGAAAAGTTCATTTTCAGTTTATGTGCACTGGAGTTTCAAATTTCCACGTCACACTTACTTACATATGTATTATATATGTACACAGGAATATGATTCCTGAGCAGAGCTCCCTTCAGCAGCTGAATGTGAAAACAGCTGTCAAGTGTCAAACTCATACATCATTCTGCAGAGTGAGGCTCAAACATACAGCTATAAAAATAAAAAACCTAGAGATATATTCGACCTCCGCCTGCTGTGTTTAAGTAACTCTCACTTTCTGACCTAACATTTCCTCTCTTTATCTCCACACATCACCCACAGCTGAATCAGACATGTTCAGACACAGTTTAAGCAGGTTGTCAAAAGGCATTCTGGGAAATGTGGGTAATCATAAATCTGACAAAGCAGGCTGGAATGAGGCAATGAGAGATACCAAAGGTCGTTTTTTTTTTTTTTCTTCTTCTTTTCTTTTAAGGCAAAACTAAACGAGTGTGAGCACCTGAGCGACGCTGAAGATGATGTAGGCGTAATGGTCGCTCTCGTACGTGTCGATGCTCTCTCCGTCGTCCCAGAACAAGTCTCCACTGGCTGAACCATCGTCAGAGAGAGAAGAGACCAGGTGGAGCGGCTGACCGCTGCTCACCCACAGGGTCAGGTTGGGCGCCTGTACACACGAATTGAAAGAGAAAAACAAACCATACATTATAAACTGCTCCCAGGTCAGATTCACAGAACCCCAACATCAGGTTTAAGAAATATTTTTGTATCTTTAGAAAAATCATGTACATTTGATGTGTGTGTGTGTTTTTAGGTTTTAGCCAGATCACTTAGAACAACTTAAAGGGTCAGCTCACCCACAATACAAATTATCCAATTATCTCTAGTTCTTATAAACCATGCAGACAAATTTGCTTGTATGTGCATTAACTGTCATGTAAATGTCATGTTGAAAATATAATACATATAACATACAACATTTTGCCAGCAACAAAGTCCTGGTAACTCTGGATAATATATATATATATATATATATATATATATAAATAACCAAACCTAAACTGTCTTTATAGCTCGATACCACTCTGAGTAAGAGAGAAAGTGTTTGTGTATTTGTGCTGAACTGACCATTTCACCTGATATGCTGCACATGTTCTGCACACACGTCTCTCTATTGTCAAGTTTGGTAAACACATTTTAAATCATCCAAAAAAAAAAAAAAAAAAGAACTTGAAAATGTGAAAGTGAAACAAAGATCCTTTTGTATACCTGTGTTGGTGTAACAGATCCTTCACGCAAATGCAGGTTGATCTTATCTAGAGGTGCATGGAGTTGAAGCTCTTCACCCTTACTGCGCACAGAGTCACCCTGGGAGGAAGAGGAACACACATGGGCATATTACTTCACTCTTTACTCCATTTCATTCCACACTCAAACAGCATAATGAGTCTGTGTGTGCCAGGCTGAATGCTGAGTATGGCTCTTACCGTGTAGTAGTCATACCACAGTCCCTCGGGGAAGTAACCGTCCACAGAATCCACTCCAGGATCTAACACTGGTGTCACCAACAAATTCTTCCCCCACAGGAACTGTTTGTCAATCCCGTAGGTTCTTACATCTTTTGGAAACCTGTTGAGAACATACAGGAATCATACAGTTAGGCAAAGCTCAAAATGTCAAGTCAAAAATAAGAATTTAAATGTATAAGAAAGTAGAAAAAAAACAAAAATACAAGGTTGTGTTTTTAAGCTCTACTTACTCGAACATCAGCGGTCGGGCAACAGTGTGTCCGTGCACATGTGCGTGATGAAAGAGAGTGTAGAGGACAGGGAAGAGAGAGTAACGCAGCAGCAGAGCCTGTTTCATGGCTGTACGAGCCAGAGGGCTGAAAGCTGTGGGATCCTGAGGCTGCAAACACGTTTCAAAGTCAGACAGTGTCAGAAAAAAGTCACATTTCTAAAAGGAGACAGGGATAAACTACAGCACTCCAAATATGTCTTAAATTGGTATTACACAGCAGTATTTTTCCCATGGAGCTCTAAGATGAGGTTGGAGCAGTGATGTTAAAGTATTACCTTCATGTCGATGGCGTTGTGGTTGCGTGTAAAGGGATAAAAAGCTCCGACCTGCGTCCAGCGGACACACAGCTCCTCCTGCGGCTCCTCACTGAAGCCGCAGATGTCTGCTCCCACCAGCGGGATGCCCAGAAGGTTAAAGGTCAACATACCTGAAGGACAGAAGGAGAGAGGTGGAAAATCTGAGATATAAAACCGACGTCAAACTATTCCATTGGTAATTTCAGACACAATTTTCTTAAAAATCTAAAGTAGTACAAAGTGTGTACAGATGAAAGTTTAAGTGCCACATGGAGCCATAATACAGAGTTTAAGCATCACACAACCTTCAAATTAGCAAATTAGCCATTCACAACAACAAAAATGCGTCATAAATGTACTAAAAACTGCTGACAAATCTGCATTTGCTGAACAATCTGGCAAAAATATGGCAATCACTTAAAGCCGCATTCATTTACTTTGACCACTTGGAGGCGGAAGAGGACCACAACAAACTGTCAGACAAACTGCACTGACATGTTACCAATTTAGAGCTGAAGTTGTTATGGCTAACATGTTAGCAACATTAGCATTCACTTGGTGTCATATTTTCATTTTGTCATCCACCACGCAGCTCTAAGTCTGTTTCACAGCTTCTGGGGAAAATATCCAGCTAACTTCAACTTTCTTCTGGTGAAAATACTTCGTCACCTGTTTTACTTTACAAATAGTGACTTCACTGTTAATATAAAAATGATAAATGGAGCTTCAGGAAAAAGAAAAAAACATGCATGGATTGTTGATTTAGATTACATCTGTTTTAAATGTCTGGATAAACACCAGAAGAGAAAAATTATTATAACAGAAAAGCAGAAATTACAATTATATGTGTGTGAGCAAGTTGGATATGGTTTTTGTGCACACCACCAAACTTCTGTTTTGTTCAGATATTGATAAGAAGTTGACAAAGTTTAATCTTGAAACGCAGCAGACAATAATATACTCAGAGGAAAAGGAATAATTGAAGTGTCTGTGTGATCGTACCTGCTATAGAGGTGTAAAGGTCTTTCCATTGGCTCCTGTTGTCTCCCAGCCAGTGGCCAGAGTACATCCCCTGACTGGGGAAGGTGGAGCGAGAGATCACAAAAGGTCTCTTTGCCACGATCCGCATCAGAGCGCTGGACAAGGGGACGGAGAGGAAGAAGATTTAGAGGACAGGAACAAGATTTAAGGAAGCAGAGGTGTGTGTGTGTGTGTGTGTGTGTGTGTGTGTGTACTTCAGTTGTCCTGACCTGGCAGAGGCTTTAGCTTCCATGAGTCCGTACAGGCTGTGCATATTATAGTGTATGGACTGCTTCTGCTGTGCAGTGGCACACACTGTTTTGGCTCTCAGCAAACCTCCTAGTATACCTGCAAGGTAAAAGACACAATTAGAATTTCTGACAATCATATAAGTGCATCTTTCTGTTATGTTTGTTGTGTGAGTTGTGCTTGAGATCTGTGTCTCCCACCAGGTGTATAAGGAGGATTTTCAAGACTGTTTGATGGACAGCCGTTAGTGGATCCATCCAGGAAATTAGACGGTTCATTCATGTCCTAATAATGGTGAGACAAAGGTCATGGAGAGGAAACGCTGAGAACCACTACAGCAATGCCATTTAAGTCAGGGTCAACGGTTTCTTTTTTTTTCCCCCACTGATCTCTCCCATTCTCATACTTACAATCCATAATCCATCAAATGGCACTTTGTCATGGAACCTCTTCAGGTTGTCGTACCACCACTCATGTGTTGCGTCATCAGAGAAATCCGGATAAGCCGTCAGACCAGGCCACACCTGGAGTAAAGGATGGGGAATTTTTATTTATCACTCAAGCTAAATGTTTCCTTCTGAAAACGAAAGACAACGGAGAGAGTAGAAACCAAACACACAGAACAGATTTGAAGGAGTATGGAGACAATGTCTGGGCATGTTTTATATCACATCACATCAGTGATGGGTTTGTAAACAGTAGCAGTGATACTTCTCACCTATATGTCAACATGACACAGTGTAGGACTTGCCACTACCATTTAATCTATGTTTCTGTCCCTTGCTCCTGATATCTAAATATTGTGAATACATTGTGAATGATGGGTTTTGTATGTCATCTTTTAAACCGTCTTATGTCTTTTAAACAGTATTTTGCAAAATGTAATTAAAATATTAAATAAGAAGAAGAATTTGTGATCAGCCAATGTAGTGTGATGATTCATGTCTCACCTTCCCAATGAGTGTTTTTCCTTCAGCATCCCTAATAAAAACGTCTCTCTTCAGTCCTTCATCGAACGGCCTGTATGATCCCTCTGGCTGAGTACTGCTGATACCCGGGTCCTGCAGGTTGAGAAACAACAGTCACACACACACACACACACATGAACACAGGCCACATCAGACAAAAAACACAAAGTACAAACTCCTGTGTACCAGGATCATGACATAGCGCTGGTCATGAGCGTGCAGGTCCTTGACCAGGTCAGGCAGCGTCGCGAACTTTGTCGAGTCAAAAGTGAAGTCCATAAATTGGTCCATGTAGTCGATGTCATTCCACTGGACATCCTGCAAAAAGAATGACACAATAAATAATCAAATAATAGACAAATGTACAAACATTCAAACAATCTGCTGTGCCCACTTTACCTGTGGTATCCCATAATTCCTCATGTTCTTGACAATTTCCCAGGTAGAATCACTGGTGTTGTAACCCCAGCGACAGAGATGGTATCCTAAAGCCCAGTAGATGGGCATCGCAGGGTATCCTACCACAAGATAGAGTGATGAGGAGAGAAAGGAGTGTGAGTGAAAGCAGGGGAGGATGTTATCAAAAGAAAAATGGAGGAACTTAGAGCGACAGAGGTGAATCCGTAGGACTGAGGTGTATACAAAACAACATGACACATGACACAAATCTTCTGTAATGTGCAGCTATTCACAAAATTACTACTTAAAGAATAAATCTGGCATTATTCCACACTTTTGTTATCATCAACAAATCCCAAACAAAGATTAAAACAAACTGGATCCAACACAAACATCACAACAAAGTTTTCACACTTGGCTGAGGTGGAAAAGTTGGTTTATCGATAAAAAGCAAAATGCAACAAAGTGCAATGGAAACGGACTTAGTGAATTAATCACGACTCCTATAGATGTAAATATTCAAAAACAATTCAATATATAGTTTCATTTCAAAATAAACTAAATAATTTCCTCTTCAAGCAGCTGGGCTCCATGCTGTAGTGTTGTGACTCAAACAAGAGGAAATAATCATTTGTGGGGACTGTTTTTAGCTGCTGATTAATACTCATTTGATGCTTTGGGGGAATTTTGCAGCAGCAGGACTGTGTCTGTTGGTTCGCATGAAAATAAACTAATGTGGACGATCTCTCAGTCTCTCTCGATCTCGATCTCAAGTTACAGCTGCAGTGTAATTCTACAATAACCTTATAATGTATGAGACAGGTATATGATGTGTAAGAAAATACATCAGACTCATATATTTTACACGTCGACACGCCCATAATCCCAGTCTCCTACTAACCTATGACGTCCACATACTGCTCAATAACTGAACCAGGATCAGGACCAAGGAAAACGTAAAAGTCAAGGATTCCACCAATAGTACGCCAGGTGAGGGCCGGGGCCGGCTGGAGGACCACATCTGACCAAACACATGAAACATCGATTATTTATAGGAAAATCATACTGAGCAAGATCAGACGAGATCTGCATTAAAACATTAAAGCTGATTTTCATCATTCTCTAGATGATGACATGATGACCTTTCAGTTAGCAGCGCTCAGTATTACTATTAGGAAATACAACATGACACTGGAAAGTTCCTATTTATTGTTGTAGACACTGAAATCACACTGAACAAGGTCATCACAGGAGAGTCTGTTAGGGACTTCTGCGTTTATATAACTGCTGACTGTTGTCAGCTGTTGTCACAAGAAAGAGTTGTGAAATCTACCAACTGTGAGCATCAGAAAGCGCCAGTGGGTATTATTGCATGACTAGGAAGTATGAGGGCGCTGAGCGGACTGACCCATTGCGTTGCTGTTCAGCAGGAAGAAGCCGTGTGCGTTCCCTCCTTCCTCCATTGCCAGGTAAAATGGATGAGCTCCGTACAGGTTTGTCTGTTCCTACAGTTCAGAGAGAAACAAGAATATTACTTCGGTGGCTATTTCTCCAAAATCATAATCAAACTTGAATCAAACAATCACTGATGCCCCGGAATAAATAAATAAAGTCCTTTGTCCAAACTGAGGTTTTGTGTTTTCCTGAGGTTTATACGTCCATTTCTAGCGAGCAAACAATGAAATCATGGCTCCTGCCGCCTCTCTTCCTCTGGTAGAAAAAACACAGACCCACCCAGGTGGGTCATATCTACTGTATAAACAGAGCAGTGACAATATCAGGAGCTTCCATACCATGGGAGGCACATCCCTGGCCCACATGGTGAGTGTGTTCCAGTGGACATCATGCAGAAAGGTGGAGCGATGTTCCCCCAGGCCATAGATGAACTGACTGGACAGGGAGGTGGAGAACTGGAGGAACTGATCCGCATAGAAGAGAGGAGCCTCTGTGGTGTTCAGACTAACAAGGAACCATTGAAGAGGGACATAGTATTAATACCCCAACATGGTCATTTTCTCAACTGACTTTCTGGTATACAACATCTGTGTAAGTGTAGCCAGCTCATGTCAGACTTACAGCACAGCTCCTGTAGAGCTTCTCTTCACGATGAGACCAAATGGCTCTTTTGAAAGCTCTACTATGTACTCTGGACTTTCTGCCTTCTTGGTGGCGGTGGGGACAGAGATTGGGACTTCAAACCTTGAGTTAGAAGGGTCCGTAATCTAAAATGAGATACATTAGACAAACAAACAGTTTGTATTTGAGTAACATACCAAAGAATCTGCGGCATTATGGAATAAAAACTTAACCAAAGTTTATGACAGTCCCTTTGAACCTGCTTGGTTTAATTAAAATATTGGCACAGACCTTGTTGACCTATTAACTGCTTTGAATGTGAACTGTGTTGTTTGCTAACATGTATAATTGGGGGTTAATGAGATTGCTCACAAGGTTTGTTCATTTCTTAAACATCTGTGACATGTATGGTTTAGGTCTGGAGGCCTGTGTTTGTACGGTTTTTCGTGGCATTGGTAAGTCAGTTCACCATATTATAACTTTATGAATTTATCATGGGAAGTGTTTCAGGAAACACATCCAGCAGACAAAGAGCAACATCACCATTTCTTTGAGGTTGTGTTTCTGGACACCTGATGAAAGTATTTTCAATATTCACTCAGTCTTTCAGCTCATATAACTGTAACCTTCTGCACCAGCTAAAAGTCTTAAAACACAGCACACAGCTGAGGGGAACAGCTGTCAGGGGTCAGGGGTTCTTTACTAAGAGTGACGCCTTTTGCATTATACATATTCCTTTGATTCACAGTTAATATAAGAATATTGATTTAGTGCAGCTTCAACTTTAAAATGTACCAGGAACCCAGGAAGCACTTTCTCATGCAAGGAAAGCTGTTATCCAAAATTACATCAAAGCATTTTAGTGTAAAAAAGTTGCTGTGAAATCATAAACAGAACCTTCCTTAAATACCTGCTAGATCATTTATGATGCTTCAAGTCCTCTGCAGAGATAAAAAGAGTAAAGTTCTTCTACACAAACGGAAACTGCATGCTGTATGACTAATGTGGGCATCCTCCACTCACCCTGACACGTAGCCGTGTGTCTGTCTCATGACGTATCTCCACCTCTAGAGTGAGGATGTCTGCTGGGTAATAGGTCTTCACCTCTCTCACGAGCGTACCTTTTTGTCCCAGGGATGTGTCGTTTATTGACACGAGCGAGTAGGAAGGGAAATCCGGAGGATAGAAACACCAGGGGATACCATTTCTCCCTGATGGGCGGGCGGCAGGGGAGGGGGAAGCAGGGATAAAGCAACAGTTCCTCGCCTCACATAAGTCTTTGGTCACGACCACTCCTCTTTCAGGGTAGCAATCAAACCTCCACGCCTCTGGAATTAAACTGCAAGCCTGACGACGTGAGGCAGACACAGTGTCGTTTACTTCTGTTTGCGGCGTTTGTGCCGTGGCCGGTGGCGGGGGTCTATGTGGCTGTTGGTTGGACGAACCGTGCAGCCAGAACATGGTGCCCAGTAGCCAGCCTCCACAGAGGAGCAGCAACAGGCAGCCAATAACCAGGAGGCCTGTGGTGACGGAGCATGAGGGCATCCGTGGAAGCAAGGAGGCCTCCTCTGGCTCCTGCAACTTTAAACACAGCAAGGAAATCAAATAAGCAACACACCAAAGTAGTCACTGTGCATTCTAATTAGTTAATTAGCTTTTTATCTATCCATCTCACATGGGATTACAAGACATAGCTACATCAAGAAATAATAACGGCCATCTTCCAGTAACACATACACGAACCAAAAAATACACACTACCAAATAACATACACTCAATGGCTACTTAATTAGGTACTTAATTAAAATATAATGCAATCCAATTAAAAGTTCCACTATAAAGTCTACCTTTATCAAGAAAATTAATTGATTTTTGATTAACATTGTCAGAAAGGGATTAATTTAATTATATGTCAATAAATGAGGTCTCTGTTAAACTGGACTAAATTAGATTTTACGGGTGTATGTAATAAAGTGACCTCAGCACTGTATGTACATTTAAGTGAAAAGGTTCATATAAACTGAGTGCCTGGTCGCCGAAGAAATAAAAATAAAATCTTAAAAAACTCAAATTTTACACTAATAAAGACTCCTGTAAATGTTTTGTATGTAACAGCCAACTCAGAACAGAACAGAATCAAACTCATTTTCTTCTTCCAAACTGAAAAACCATCCAGCGTCAATAGTGAGTGGAACAAGACCAAACCCTCAGCTGGGAACATAAAGATCTTTGCCTCTTGAATAAGTTAAAAATACATTTTAAATAAAAAAAAAAAAAAGGACCATAGCCATGGTTACGTTTATCTTATTCAACTATCAAAGCTACAATGAGGGAAAGGTTGTTATTATCAGGAGAGTCCCAGATTGGCAGCACTGACAGAGAGTTACAGACTAACAACATAAAAAACAGGTTCAGACTTACAATAATGCCAATGTAATGTCAGCAATTAAACTGGCAATAAAGTGACACCGTACAAACAGCCTGAGAGCTGTATAAAACCATAACTACAATAAAACAAACAATAAAATAATGAGACAAACACATCTAGATTGTGAAATATCCCAAAACATTGGCAGATAGGGGAAAGAGCATGAAGTTTCTACAGCAATGATTTGAATTCACACAGAGAGAGATCAATCCTTTGCAGTTTTAAGACAAACTGCAGAAGGTTCAAGGCTTGAACTCACTGAAACTTCTTGTTGGACAGTTCGAGGCTCCTCCGACAACACAGCATTGGAAAACTGAACATCTTCAGGGTTCAGGCGCTTGTATGAAACCATCCTGACAGTGTGTGCTTGTCAAAGTAAGAGACTGAACACATGTAAGAGAGATAGAGAAACAGAGACAGTGGGACAAAGGTCAGTACAGTGACAAATGTGAGTTCCGGCTGTTCGGAGTTGGTTGGAGAAGTGTCTGCACAAGACAAGGTGTAGTGATCAGTTTCTCTGATTTGATAGTTGATTTAATTGGAAAGCAGAGGATCTGAGTCAAGAGCAGTGATGGAAGAAGTATTCAGATCCTTTAGTTAAGTAAAAGCAGAAATACTCCATTACAAGTTACAATCCTGCATTCAAAATGTTACTGAAGTAACAGTACAAAAGTATAATCGGAAAAATGTACTAAAAGTATCAAAAGTAAAAGTAGTCATTATGTGAAAATATTTATTTCATAGAATTGTATTATTAATGATGCATTGTATTATACATTATTATAATAATACATTACATTCCACCACGAAACAATTAAGAGCACATTATGGTGACGAAAGACATAGAAACACATAGATCACATAGAAAAAAAGATACCATAGATGTGCAATTACACAGCTATTTGTCAATTAAATATCTTAAATAACAGATGAATATTGAGATCATGCTGCAGTAAGTTTAGGTCTTATTTAAGTCTTATAAATTACGGTTATAAATATGAAATTAACGTGATCTTGACTGGGTGACGGTATTTTTCAAACACAACTCTCTAGCTACATGTCAGGTTTTTACCATCTTAGGTTGAGGTGTTATGAACGCTGACATGAAGTTTCTGCACATTTTGGCCACAGGACATGATGTTGTGGCTAACTTCAGCTAGCCCCTGCGTAGAAAATCATGTAAATGTCAAAGTTCACCTAGGAAACATTGGACCGCTTAGTTACTGGAGTTAATCAACGGACTGGATGACTTCACCTGGGGAATTTTGGTCATGAGAAAACAAGGACTAGTCGGCCGGGACCGACGGACTGTTTTCTGTACGTTACTGTTGCAAAATAACGTTTATTAGCGTTAGCTACAGTTAGCAGCACCGTTAATGTGAGCTAATGTTAGCCACCCATAGCTGACACGGGCGTTTACATCAACATTACTCACCTGTATGAGCTTTGAACTTTACACGCACAAAAATATAGTAATTTTTAATTTTAAATGAATGCTACGTTGGCGAAGTAATTCGTAACGTTGATAACCTTAACTGTCTGGACGGTGTGGGTCTGTTTATCTCCATGTCACATTCGAAGAGCCTCGTAATTTCTAAAACTTCCGTTTGAAGATGTCGGATTCACGATCTGTAAACTAAACTCAAGATGTCATTGTCGAGATCTTATGTGATAATGTCAACGACGGTAAAGTATATAAGGATGATTAATTCATGGTTGGTTACATTTTTTTGACTAAAAAAGTGAGGAGTATGTTTCTTTGTAATGGTGCTGCCTTCAGGACCAGCTCTGGGTTTTTTTTAAAACCTGTAAATTACACAGCCAACCTGGACCTGTGTGCTGCGCCAATGCAGGTTCAACAAGAGAGGTGCAGGATTTAACAATAAAGGTGTTCTTAATAAGATAATGGTTACCACCTGTAAATGTGCTTTGAATTATAATAGTTTTTGTCTGAGAACATATAGTTGTCGATTTTGAAATTTTTCTCACCTGACAGACTTTAATCCTACTTTAAAACACATTAAAGATACCCTGTGGTTCAAGAATTTAAATAGATGTTTCCTCAATATTGGTTTAAAGTGTTGTATAAAATAAAAAATATACAGTATATTAATATATTCCTGGCACATGCTGTTTTATGTATGGTATATGACACACATCTCCTTTTGCCTTTAACTACAATATACATTGGTTTTCCTTTTCCACATACCAAGAATTTGTTTGTTCCAAAATATAAAATATGTATATGTATATTTTTATATATTTTATATGTATATATATGTTTTTGAAAATTTTTAAGAGTCAACCATTGATGCCTCTTAATAGTGTAAACCACAAAAATATTTTTTAATTATTTAAATATGACTTTTTGCATATTGTATTTGTACCTCTCGTACATTAACTCCAGCAGATATAACTCCTCAGGCAAAATTTAGTACTTTTACTTTTATTGTTCAGTATAACATGTCCCATACAATTAGACAGAGGCAGCACTGGGCAAAATTTACCATCTACATGGCTTCAAATTTTTGCCTTTTGTATCGTAGCCTTTAATTCACAATGGTTTCTTGGCCTTAAAGAGCTGTTTAAACCAGGTGAACCTGAATCATGATTTGGTTCTTGAATAACTACTGTACAAAACAGAGATAAAAATTTATCACCACTAAGGCAAAATGGTTTTGGCAAACACCTGATGTAACCTCATGTTCCCATGGTTTTGTTACTGGGTACATTTCCCAAAGAATGAATTCCAGTTTCACCTGATTCCTGGACTGCTCATTGGCCACCGTAACATCTGATACAAAAACATAATTACTCTTCAATCCAATTTCCACATACACAATTAGTTGGAATGGAAAATACTGCATGGACACAGTGAAATCACAAACCTTAAATGACTCATTTGCACTACCTTAAATACTATGATTTTCCAATGAAACTAACATAGTGATAAACGAGCAAATACGACCTCTAAAATTTATCGTCTCAACAGTTTCCAAGATTTTACAAAAGTTGCGTTTGTAGCAAATATTTGTTTTGTCATTTTGTTTGAAACTGTGTTGAAAGTCGCTGAACATCAACTGGTTTGTGTGATTGTGTGTTAATTTGCACGTTTCCGGGAGATAAATATCTTAGTTGTAATACTTTTTGGGTGAACCACCACATAAAGGTTTAATAACGGTCTATTCACAGAGGTAGTCACTTACGTCTCTTTCAGTTCACGTTCTACTGCCTAAAATCTTGTACTGTTATAGCACTACTGGCACATACCTGTGTGGTTTATATAAATACATTATAAGATGTTTTTGTCTGTTATACACATATTAATTGGAGAGTTATCGTCACTCTGTGAGAATTCATCATTCTTCACATTGAAGGCAGACTCCTCCTCAGTCTGTATCAGCTCATGTTTTCGTTTGTGGAGCCTCAGGCTTTGTGAGCGGCTGAATCCTCTCCCGCAGATGTCGCAGCCGTACGGCCTTTCTCCTGTGTGAAGCCTGAAATGGTTCTTGAGGCTTGAAGCTCGTGTGAAACTCTTTTCACACTCTGGACAGTCAAACTTCTCCCCAAAGTGGATTTTCTCGTGTTCCCTCAAGCGTCCGGACTGGTTGAAGCTCCTGTCACACACGGAGCAGTGGTAGGGCCTCTCTCCTGTGTGAGTGAGCCGGTGTCTGTTCATGGCCCCCGAGTGGGCAAAGCTCTTCCCGCAGTCCGGGCAGGAGAACGGTTTCTCTCCTGTGTGGACTTTCTGGTGACCTTTGAGTTGACCTTTCTGGGTGAACTGCTTCCCACACAGACTGCATTGATAAGGTTTCTCTCCCGAGTGAATTCGCATGTGGATTTGCAGCGCAGACATCTTGTGACAGTCTCTTCCACAGAGCCCACAGCAGTAAGAGCTCTTTGTGAGATTGTTGTTAAACTCTTCCTGCACTGGCGATAATGGAGGACTGTCTTTTTCACTGTCAGCAACACAATCAGGATCCTCTACAGTCACTGGAAACAAAAATGGGGAGGGTTGAAACATGCTATTTAGCAACACTGAACAAAATAAACAACTAATGTGAACATTTTCACTTGTTAAAACATTGTTATTTACGGAATACAACATGGTGTAGGATTGACAGGAACCTTCAGCCTCTCATGTTGTGTTTTAGCATTAGCCTCCAGACGATGAGCCTACATAAGTTCATGCTTAAAGAAAATAAATGCAAGCTGCACTAAAAGTCTCACCCCACTTGTGTAAGGAACCTTCCTCCCATCTTAACTGTTCACAGCAACATTATTTATTTCACACAGCTGTTCAAAATTCCTCTTTATGGGTACAATTCAGTATTCCCTCAGAAGCATGGGCCTCAATTATCAGGACTTTGTGGGATTATCATTATCTTTAATGTGTTGAGTGACATCTGCACACTGTCAAGTAATTTACTTACTGTTGACAGGTTCCTCTTCTTCCTCCTTCACTGTAATCCTAATTTCTGTGTTGCTTTCCTGCTGCAGCTCTTCACTTTCCTCTGACATGGTGCAATCCTCACCCCTGGACGCCTGGTCAAGAGCTTCTTCTAGTGGGGAAAACCACTCGTCACAGTTAAATCATCATCAAAGGCATTCATGTTTCTTTTAAAACACACACACACACATATATATATATATATATATATACAAGAAGGAAATTTGGAATCTTATTATGTTTATGTACCACA